CATTTTTCTGTGGCTGGCCCACGAATCACCAGAGGAACCCATGTAGAACATAAATGCAAATTCGTTCCCCTGGGTTCTCTCTCGGTATCTGACAAAATGTCATCTTTTCCCCTTGTAACCAGATCACATCCCTCACTTCTGCCCTAAAATAGGTGTTTCTTGGCTGTAAGAAACAGCCTGGGTCTCTCCTCTATGTGATAACCACCTGCCCGAGACCCCCTCACCCTGATTTCTCCAATGTTCCAATCCAATCCCGGTCTCTGAATCCTTGGGAGGAGGCTCAGATGCTCACATGACTTAAGTGCATTGATGGGAGAATGCGTCCTAAGAGCCACGTTCCGAGTGTCACTTCTGTGTGGCTGCATGTGCTCGAAGAACTTGTGACTAAATATTTCCAGTCCAGATGCTTCCAGCTGAATAGTGTGAAAACTGGGACAGGCACTCGTGCCTTAAATGCCCAGGACAAGTCCAGAGGCTTCTTGTCACTGCTTCTCTCCAGACACACAGAAGTGCAAGGAGCAAAGGACACTTAGGAGGCAACTTCTGCCTCCTAAGAGAACACTTCGCCCCACCAGGAGGACAGGCCCTGCCATATTCCTTCAGGCTCCCTGACTGTGTGTGAGAGGTCATCTAGTGTCCACGGGAAAAACCTGGACTTTGGATTCAAGCTGATCTGGGCTTGAATGCTGGCTCCACCACTTTCTGGGATGTTTGGCCACAGGCAAGTGCCTCTACCTGGTGAGCTGGAAGAAGGGGCTATGAGTCTGTCCAGAGGTCATTTGTGAAAGAATGCTTTGCAGGCGCTCGGGGAATGGTAATGAGGGACAAGGGGCTCCCAAAACAGGCAACTCAACTCTTTGCTCTCAGGCAAAGCGGCAGCAGCAGGACGAGCTGGCAGGGCTCAGCAAGCGCGGGCTCACTGCTCTCACACCCCTGGTGGCAGTCGTCTCCTTTCACTGACCTCTCACAGTCCCCCACCACCTTCCAAAGACAGCACCTATCATCCGGGACTTTCCTCTTCTCTCTGGTTGCCCCCTGCTTCTGAGTGGCCAACCCTGAGGCCTTTCTTACCCATAACTGGGACCTCCCACCCCAGCAGGGAAAAAAGTAAAGGTATTGGGCCATTTCCAGCTCTTGGTAAAGAACATCACCTTTTTATGATCTCCTTTTTCTAGGCTCACTTCCCAGCACCCAAGTAATTCTGATTTCAGTCTAGGATTCCAGAACCTACTTCAAAGCAGGACAAGTTCCCTCCAGGTCCTCCCCACCCACCACGTCACACAGCCTCCCCTGCCAGGGACAGAAGTCAGTGCAGAGGCAGCAGCTCCAAGCCTTGAAACCATCTGGATAACCCAACCACATCCCCCACCAGTCACCACAGAACCTGAGACATCCAGCTCATCATTATTCTCTTCTCCATGAGGCTCAGGTGTCCCCTGTCAGTGAGGCCACCCCTGGAAAAACACACCTTCTCCACTCCTCCCTGTTGCCCAGTCCCTTTTCAATACAAAGTCTAATTTTCCATGAAGAAAAATTTTAGAAAAGCACTTTTCCTCCCAAATTCTCTTGAGAGGTGAATCAGACAGTGTCACCCTGCCAACTTCTTAGAGTCCTTCCTGACTCTCAGGAAGCCAGACTTCCGGCCCCTCCCTGGTCGCTGGGAGCAGCCAAGCCCTGCAGGGTCAGTAGGACCACTGTGGGAAGCGCCATCACGTCTCTCCTGGGTCCACCTCCTTTGGGGCCAGCACAGCCGTTTTGGCAAAGCACCTTCCAAACATCCTGATCTGACAAATGGGGAGCCCCTTGGCGCTGGAATGGTCATGGGGTTAAACCCTTGCTAGTTTTCCCACCCTAAACAGTCTCCTTCCCCCTTTACAGAGGGCCCCGCAGGCCTGCTGACAGGCAAGATGCAAAGGAGAGAGGCAGCTTCTGATTGGGAAAGTGAAAGGACCCAAAAGCCAAAAAGCTCAGGTTACTTGTAGGGGCTGGGTTGGGAGGCCACAGCCCAAGCTTTTAGCTCAGAGGAGCCAGATGGAAAGAGTGTGGAGACAAGGAAAGTGAAACTGTACTGGCCATGGCCTCTGCAGCTCCCTCGCCCACCCCGAGGAGCAATTCACTGCTGCTTCTGCCTCCAGCACCGCCAAGACCTGTAACCACAGTGTGGCTGCAGCTTGTGCCAGGCCTGCCTCACCCGCTGCTGCGAGGGGGCCTCGCCCGCCCTCCTGCCCCCTTGTCCCCAGTGCCACCAGAGGGTTCAGGCCAAGAGCTTCAAACCCAGCAGGCGGCTGGGAGCCGTGGACGCCATCAGGCTGCTGCTGGAACGGGAGGCAGGGCCCTTGCACCTGGAGGTCTGTCAGAAGCACCTAGAGAACGCAGAGCCGCTGGTGAGGAGGACCAGGAGGCCCACCGTCTGTGGGGTTTACCTGGCCCGTGAGGAGGGAGGACGCCCCCTCCAATGGGCTGGCAGGACTTAGAGGAGAGGGATGAGAAGAGGGTTTAAACTGGAGCCAGGCAGAGAGAAGGAAGGGATGGGGGGTGATGGCGGAGCGGAGGGAAGAGGAGGGAAAGGACCCAGCAGGCAACGCCTAGGTTTGGTCGAGTAGAATACCTTCCCTGTATGAGCCCAGACAGCTGCCAGTCATCCTTGAAGTTATCCTTGAAAGCTTTATAGGAGAAAGCCATTTTCTCAAGTGGCCTAGTGGCTAAGAGTCAGGGATCTGGAGTTAGTCACACAGATTCAGATCTGCGCTCTGCCTCTCCCCACAGGGATCACTTTGGATAAACGTCTTAACTTTTCTAAACCTCCATTTCCTCCTCTATAAAACAATGACAGTAGTTCCTACCTCATAGGGTTGTTGTCAGGATCAAGTGAGGTAATGTTTATAAAGCACTTAGCACAGAGCCTGGCACCTAGTAAACTCTCATAATTGCTACTCTTTTTATTTATTACTATGGTCATGGGTGGCAGATAAGCATCTGAATGAACAGAGCCTGGCTTCCCAAGGCTAACCTCATGGAAGATGCATGTCCAGCCCTAGGACAACAAAGATTCAAAAAAAACAAACTTCAAAATTGCCAATGGCAGGAGCTAATGGTTTCATCTGTAGCGCTCAGTGGACACGCCTTGATCTAGGAAGCGTGTAGCCAGACCCGTTGCCAACGTGCTCCATTGTGACAAAAGCAGACAGTTTGATTTCCCTATTTCTTGTTTCTGTTTCTTACTGTAAATTTTCTCTGCCTCCCTCCCAGATGGGATCTACAAGGCCTGGGAATCTCACTAATTCACAGGAAGGGCCAACAGAAGCAGGGAGAGCATTGACACAACAGGGCCCAGTTCCCCAGACCTGCTCATGGCTGTAACTTGGGGTACCAGCCTTCCTGCTCCTCCCCAGAGTATGCATGGAAGTTGTGGAGATGCCATGACACAGCCACATCTCAGGACTTACCTGTGATGTCAGGAGATGGACCCAGCATCACCAGCATCATCATGAAGCCCTCCCTTTTAGCTCAGTTTTCATGAGGTCACCTTGACACATTCAAATGGGAGAGGATTGCAGGCACTCAAGCTATCCAGGTATGATCCTAGCTCCATGGCATGAGCTCAGAGGGGCTGCAACCATGCCCCTCAAATCTCCCTTCCACATCCCTGTCCCAACACCTGACATCTAGACCAAGATGGACACTCTCTGGGTCATAGGGATGGCAAATGGATTTCATCACAAGTGCCAACTCCAAATTATTGAGATTAGATTTTGTTTCAGAGAGGTTCTGAGGCCTTTTCTGGTCTCAGCAGAATGTTTGCAGTCAATTAGCAGTGTCTGCCACAGGCACTGAAAAGAAAAGTCAATGATTTTGCACCAAATGGCTGTCCTTAAAAATTTTTTTTACATTTGCAATGCAACTATACAGCCAGGAGGGAATACATGAACTTGTTATGACTAACAACCATCTCAGCAGGGCCCTGAGGGCATAGGAGTCAGATCAGGGACTTTGTGATGGGGGGATCTAGGAAGGGCATACTAACTTAGGCCTGGGGTTGGTGGTTGAGGAGGACAAGCCCAGATGGGGTTGCAGATGGGTTGAGATGGCTTTGGAGCAGCCGCAGGCCTTGGGTTTCTTGGGAAGGGACTAAAACAAAGGTAGCCACCTCCAGTGGGCCACCAAAGCAAACTCTAGTGCAGCCCTCTGAGCTCTACCCTCCTGCCAGTCTAGGGCACTCCCACATGCTCTGCTCAAAGGGAAGCATCCAAACTTCTGACTTCAATGTAAGTAGCAGCCATCATGTACCTTCTTTGCTCCAGCTCCAAGTTTGGCGCTTTCACACATACTATCCACATTTAACCGACTCCAGTGTGGTAGGATTTTCCAAATTCTCCAAAATTATATGTTATAGATCTATTTATTATTAAACTATCATGTGTTCATAGTTTTCCAAAAAAAAAAAATCAAATAGTACAGAATGGTCTAAAATGAAGAGTAAGCCCCAGTCCCACTTTTCAGAGGTGACTACTCTCAAAGACTCTTATTGGATGCCCATGTCTGTAGCAGCATTATTCACAACAGCCAAACAGTGGAGGCAACCCAAATTTCAACAGATGCATGGATAAACAAAATGTGACATGTATGTACAATGGAATATTATTTGGCCATAAAAAGGAATGAAATGGTGGCACATGCCCTAGCATGGATCAACCTTGAGGACATTATGTTAAGTGAAATAAACCAGACACAAAAGGACCAATGTTGTATGATTCCACTCATATAAAGTTACCTAGAATAGAGGAAGTAGAAACGGGAGACAGGCAGTGGAAAGAGGGGATAGGGAGCTGCTGTTAAACGGGTACAGAGTTTCAGTTTGTGATGGTGAAAACATTCTGGAGATGATGGTTGTACAGCATTGTGAATGTACTTAATGTTACTAAACTGTTACTAAAATGGTCAATTTTATGTTATGTATATTTTACCACAATTTAACAATAACAAAGCAGTCTGTAATGTACTTTTCTATGAGGAAGTAGAGGTGGTGTCACTTTGCACAGCAGTGTGGGACCGCAAAAATGACCAGGCAAGTTGAAACCATTCAACGTGACCTAAACAGTCAATGCAAAAAGTTATGGTTGTTCCGTGACCTTTAAGTTTTTGTCAAAACACTAAAAACCTTCTTACTGTCAGTTATAAATGTAGAAAGAAAAAATAATAACTCTAGTATTTATATAGTGCGTTTTTTTTTATTGTGTTCTATGTCTTGGTAAAAACAAACAAACAAACAAAAAATAACAACAATCAAAAAAAATTACCAAGAATAGTCTGAGCAGTGCTGGCCTTCTTTTTCTCGTCACATAATTTACAACACAAAGCGAGCATCGAGCCTTGGTGAATTTTCATGCTCCTTTGGATCTTTCCAACATCTTATCCATTGCACTTTCAATGTTGTGAAATAGCTCTACGGATTTCTTCAATGTCAAGTATTTTTTGATGTCACTTTTTCTGGGACATCTTCCTCCTTTTTGTCACAACGACCTTCCTCATTTAGACTGACAAGCCCACCTTGACTAAGTTCCTCTGACTGCGCATGTAGAGTCCCTGCAGTGGTGGCAACGTCAGCATTCCCGTGGCCACCTATTTTTCCCCTAACTCTGTTTACATTAGATTCAAATCCTGCAAAGTCATTTGCATGGTGGAGTAAAAGTTACTGCCACTCTACACAGAATCCAAAGCAGAAGTAAATGTTCCATTTCAACCACAAGCAGCTTTCTGTTCCTAGTAGTAGTACAGTTTAAATTGTGCACTGGATCCCTTACTTCTAATTTTGGGCCTTTAAATTCTAGTTTAGAGTAAAATTAAACAGGAACTATTTTATGTGTTTCAAATACAGTAAGAATTTCCAATATGACTCCTAATTCTAAAATACATATGTTTTTTTAAGTGGACCCTAAAGGGTCCAGTGCACAATTTAAACTATGAGATGTTGAAGGGACTACAGCTTGCTTTTATATTCACTGGACTTTTTCAATATAATTTGCACCATAGCTCCACGCAGGTTTAGACCTCATCCTATCTTTGCTTTGCTGTTGCCATTTTCAGATCTTCGGGTCACAGCCAATTTTTACTTCAGGTGTTGTCACTTTTCATCTCTTTGCTGCACTGTCATCTTTGTTGGCTAATTCTCCCTTTTGATCAACCATCTGTGTAGAATGAGACTTACTTCGTGGAGTTGAGGGGTCATATGGGTATAATCCCACGTGGGTTTATCACTGGGAGACAAGGAGGCAACACAACTAAGTGCTTTGCTGGCTGTGCATGAACTGACTAGCAGAGGCCCAGGAACCAATAACCAATCGGCTTTAAAATAGGTGACACGACTGGTCACTGACTATGAAGCACATCTGTTGTTTATGCAGGGATTTGTGGACTGAAGAGCTGGCAGCGAAGTTTGTACTTCATTCAATTAATTACTCACATTTCATGTACATTGGTCACTGAACATTGACCCAGTTATTGGGGGACTGGTGTTCCTTAAACTGTGATAACTTAAGTTTGCACATACTGGAACTGTACAAGGCAAGACTGCCTGGAATGATAATGGATGTTTGACTGTTTGCTTTATATCAGGACTTACTCTAAACGCTTTACCCATATAATCCCCCCAACCCCATGAGGCAGGTCGCACTATTAGCTCCCATTTTACAAATGAGGAAACTGAGTCACAAAGGGATAACAGGCCAAGGTCACTTGCCAAGCTGGCAAGTGGTGGAGCTGAGCCTGTGTTTTAAATTTATATACTGTGCTTCCTTTGATAGAAGTGAGCAAAAGTGAGTATTTTTTCAGGGTCATGTGGCTCATATGGCTGAGTGTGTGTGCCAGTCACTCACAGCTGCCTCTCCCTCCCTCCCTACCTCGGAAGATCACTACTCCAACAGGAGTGGCTATCACCACTTTCCCTGCTCACAGAGGAGGAGGGGTGCAGCCTCAAACACCACCTTTGTTTCTTAATTGTATCTATTTATTTTGGAAGAGGACAAAATTCAAATGGTACAAAGGGCTACATCATGCTCTTCCCTCCTCTCCTCCAGCCATAATTCTCCTCCCTGGAGACAACTAATGATACCAATTTCTTCTACAGCCGTGCCTAAGGTGTCCCAGGATGTCTCGTACCACCTGCCCCTCCTTTCCTATATATATTGAAAATAAAGTTCAAACAGACTAGAATCCTGATTGATAGAAAACTTAATGGTAAAAAACAATAAAAGCACCAAAATCCTTTAAAAATTATCTTTGGTTTGTTTGTTTCCAGGAACTCGAGAACCATTTGTATAACATGACAAAAAAGGCGTTTGCCTTGGAATTTGAGGAGGGAAGAGCAATGATGAGTCAAGAACTTCTGGTGGGATGAATGGGCCAACAGGTGTGCTCAGGGATGGCCCTGACTCTGGAGGGGTGGGGGAGGGGGAGGAGGCAGGCAGCACCCCATCCTCCCTTGGAGGCTGCCAGTCACCCAAGTTTATAGAGGGCTCTGCTCTTAGGCCCTGAGTCTTGCACTAGGTCTATTTTCTAAAGGACTTAAAGGGCAAAGAAAAGAATATCTTCATCCACTATGCTGGCTTTTTCAGGACAGTATTAATTTCAAATATTCTATCCTGCTGTCCCCTTGAGTGATCACAAACATTTTTGAAATCCCAAATTTGCAGTATCCAAACCACATCTTCAAAACAGCCTCTTTCCTCTAAACCTCTGACTTTCTGCAGCACAAAATCCTTTCTCTAAACATATATTTCAAATTTGAGGGTCAGATAATAAGGTGGGCATAGAATATCTGAATAGAGGAAATTGGCAGCTTAAAGGAAAGGGGAGGAAGTATAGCACAGGGAACTATATTCACTATCTTGCAGTAACTTATGGTGAAAAGAATATGAAAATGAATATATGTATGTTCATATATGACTGAAGCATTATGCTGTACACCAGAAATTGACACAACGTTGTAAACTGACTATACTTCAATAAAAACATTTTTTTTTAAAGAGGAAAAAGGGAGGAATGGTAAATGAAACACACACACTAGCCCATCTTTACTGAGAGGCTGCTGAGTGTAGGGCTGATGAGCATGGATACTGGAGCCAGTCTATCTGGGTTCAAATTCCAGCTTTGATGCTTCCTAGCTGTGTGGCCTGTACACACCAGTTAACCTCTCTGTGCCTCAGTTTCCTCATCCAGTAAAATGAAGGGAACAGTACCTGGTTCTGGGGATTTGTGAGAATTGAGTATTTAATACAGGACTTTAGAACAGTGCCCGGGGCAGAGTTAGCAATCTCTGTGGATCTGTTCTCACCACAGAGCCCTCACCCTGTGCTGGGTGCTAATCTCTTTACACACATGAATTCTTTAACCCTCACAACAGCCCTCAGTATCTCCACTTGGCATTTGAGGAAACAGAGACCCACAGAGGCTAAGTGAGTTACCCAAGTCACCCACCTGAAACGTGGGGCTTGGCAAGGGCCAGGGCCACATCTTCCTCTGAAGCAGGTTGTGAGGAGGGAAAGCTGAGAGAAGGAGCAGCTGAGCTCCAAGGGGGAGGGAGTCGGGTCAAGGGTTCCTTTGACACAGAGGTCAGCAAACTGCTTCTGTAAAGGGCCAGATGATAGATATATTTGGCTTCATCAGCCACAAGGTCTCTGTTGCAACTTCTCAAGTCTGCATGTGTAGGGCAAAAGCAGCTACACACAATACTTAGGAGAATGATGTGTCTGTGTTCCAATGAAATTTTATGTGCTGAAATGTGAATTTTACATAATTTTTACAAGTCACAAAATAGTCAAAAAAATCAAATCTTCTTTTGATTTTCCTCCAATCATTTAAAAATGTAAAAACCCTTCTTAGTTCATGGTCTAAAGCAGGAGGTGGCCTGGATTTGTCCTGCAAGCTATAGTTTACCAGCCCCTGCTTTGAAGGATATATATTGAGCGTCTGCTCTGTGCCAGGCACCAAGCCTGGTTTTAAGGGTACAAGATCCCTGCCTACAGGACTTACAGAGTAGCACAGTAGAAAGACATAGAAGCAAAAGGCTATAGTTATGGGCAAGCCAAACCCAGTGCCTTAGGAATAAATGAATGTCCTGAATAAAAGGAGTATATCAAAATAGTAACATGTATATAGCAAGTCTGGACTTGGACCACCAAGGAGGCTGCATATACCATGCACCGCACAAATCCAGAAGGCGCCATTCACCTAGACGCCAGCGTAAAGAGTGCCCCGTGGAGTGTGGTGGCCCTGGTGGGTGCCCAGAGGAGAAATACCAATTCATCGTCAGGGAGTACAGGAAAGCCTCATCAAGGAAAGGCATTGGAGCCGAATCGTGAAAGTTGAGTAGAAACTTTCAGGCAAATAATGCAAGATAGGACATTCTAGAAGAAACATCATGAAAGAACACAGTATGTTCACATAGGAAAGAGCAAGCAATTCAGTTGGAGCTCAGAGTGTAGAGGGGTGAGCCACAGAAAATGAGAGTAGGAAAGGGGCAAAGGGGCAAAGTGACAGAGGGCCTTGTGGGCCATGCTAAGTAATTCATGGGTCATCCCCCACGTACACTGTCCAAACAGCAGCCATTAGCCACATATGGGTATTTAAATTAATTAAAATTAAGTAAAATTAAAAACTTATACAGACAGGTATATATAGAATAGATAAACAAGTTTATACTGTACAGCGCAGGGGAATATATTCAACATCTTGTAGTAGCTTGTGGTGAAAAGAAT